TAGAGCAGGTGTGTTGCACTGGGTTTTTTTTCCTCTGTACCACCTTTATTCTCCATAGCCAGCAAGCTGGAATGGCTGATTTAACGGAAGCACAGAGATGGCCGCTGGCCCTCCCCTGGGGAGCTCCCTCCCATGGAGATATCAGATCTCTGTCTGCAGGAGTGGGTCGGGGCCTGTCAAATAAACAGTCTGGCTACAATCTGGCAAGGCGGCTGCACTATGCCTTGTGGGGGGCGGGGGCGGTGCTCCTGGCTGGGTGATCTGCACTCTCCACTCTCTCCAGGCTGGAATAACTGAGTCCCCAGAAACCACAGAGATATCAGCCGCCCCTCCCTGCTACCCCCAGCTCCCTCCCAGCGAGAGATCAGATCTCTGACCCTGCATGGTAAGTCCTACTCAGTTTGGAGTGGGTCCATCTGGTTAAAGAAGCGGTCTGGCCCCCTTATCTGGCAAGGCCACTGCACTGTGCTGTGGGCGGCCCTCCTCCTCTGGGCTGTGCCCACTCTTCACAGCTGGCAGGCTGGATTGGCTATTTCCCCTGAATTGCAGAGATGGTGACCGCCCCTCCCCCTGGAACTTGGTCTTGTCTCAGGCGGACTTCAGCCCTCTGCTGTTGGCTAGCTGGGATTCCAAGTCTGTGAGGTGCGATGGAAATGGGGCCTGCCGAGCCATGCTGCTTGGCTCCCTGTATTCAGACCCCTTCCTAGGGATGTATATGGATGGATTTTACGCCTTGGCAGGGATCCCGTGGCAGGAGTATGCAAAATTCCTGGGTCTCTGTGTGCGCCTGAGCTGCTGTTTTGCCGAGCCTCCACACAGCTCTGTGTATCAGACCCAAGATCCTGGTGGAATGGGTTCACAAGGGGATCTCCTGCTCCACATGTAGCAAAGATCCATCGGAGAAGCCTGGCTTCCTGAGCGGGTTGCACACTCACTCACTGCCTTCCCTGGCTGGGGATGGGGGTTCCTTTTGCTCCACGTGCTCCTGGATGGGCCATAGCCCCCCCGCACCTTCTCCTTGCTCTCTGTGCTTTTTGCCTATTCAGTCCCAATGTAAGAACCTGAATATTTCATTTGAAGGTGTTGGATTCATTCACCCTTTTTCATGCCTCTCTGTGAGTGCCACAGACCACAGCTGCTTCTCATCAGCCATCTTGCCCTTTGTCCAATTCCATTTTTATGCAAAGGTGTGTGTGTGTGTGTGTGTAAATGTGTGGAGGAATACATAACAAATGTTACTGGTAGTTATTTCCTGGTTTTGTAATTGGATGTTAGTATTGTTTGCATTTTGTTTTGTTTGGTTCTTTGAAAAGAGGGATTATAGTAGCCAGGATGGAGGTAATGTTTTAGGCAAAAAATCTGAAACTTTCTAGGATAGAAAACAAACAAATTCACATGTGCTTTTCCTGTGACTTACACTGGCATTTCAGTTGACTAGCAAGTCAAAAGGAAAGTTATTGCATGGTTAAAGGCTGAACCTTCACCATAACCTGACCTTAGACAGTCATGTCTGACTTGATAGGATAGGTTTTAAATCTGGAATTAGTGGAGTGAATACATTAAAGGGGTTTAGAAATGACGTTTCTCAAAAATAAGTATCTCCTGAAGATGCAAATGGTAAAACAGTACGTGGTATTATTTTCAGGTATAGTATAAGCATGAACTGGCCTTTCACAAGTTTGTCTTGAGACTTGTTTTTTCAGTTTTTATGTTTTCTTTTATTAAATTAACATGCTTGTTTTAGAAAGTTCAAAAAGTACAAAAGTGCAGGCCAGGTTCAGTGACTTATGCCTGTAATCCCAGCACTTTGGGAAGCCGAGGTGGGTGGATCACTTGAGGTCAGGAGTTCGAGACCAGCCTGGCCAACTTGGTGAAACTCCATCTCTACTAAAAATACAAAAATTAGCCAGGCATGGTAGCGGGTGCCTGTAGTCCCAGCTACTTGGGAAGTTGAGGCAGGAGAATCGCTGGAACCTGGGAGGTGGAGGTTGCAGTGAGCACCACTGCACTCCAGCCCGGGCAACAGAGCGAGACTCTGTCTCTAAATAAATAAATAAAAGTTAAAAAGTGCTAAAAGTAAGAAAATAGACGTAAGGTCCCCCTCCCCTGGAATCTTTCAGTGAATTATCTTTTTTTACCTAAGGGAATAGGTCTGGGAAGTAGAGGAACTGTAAAGAAAACAGACATTCTTTGTGGTGTGATGGAATCATCTCTGCATAGGAGCCAGGAAATTTAGTTTCCAGTCCCAGGTAGTCCTTAGCTGTGTAATCGGAAAAAGTTACTTTGCCTCTCTGGGCTTCAATTTCTACTAATTCCATGATGATACATTTGGACTTAGAAATTATAGAATGCTAAGGACTGACTTAATAAAGCTTTCCTGGTATCTCAGACATTTTTTAAAAGGCTGTATGTGAGTTTGTGTATATGTTTATGTGTATATGCATTTCTGGAAAGGCTTCCCCTCCAACCATTAAAGACATAATTAATGTTATAAATTGTGGTGTTTAGAATTGAGAAATAAATACCGCACTTGACAGTGTTTATTTCCAAAGAATTGGGTATTTTCATGCTTTTGTTTATTCCTGCTATTTTCATATCATCCTGTTACACACGTGAGCAGAGAGTGTATCATCCATATTTAATTTACAGTCATAGCTAGACTAAGTTATTATCCAGTGTTATTGAGAGAATCAGTGGCACAGATAGAAATGAATTAGTTCCTAGTATACAGTTTTCTTGGCCTTTCTCTCATCCAGATTGCTTTCTTAGAGAAATGAACTGATCTGACTATGATTAAGATCATTTATTGCTACACAGAAGTAAAATTAGAGATTATCCATAGAACATTTTAATCTTGTAATTTATTTGGTGTGTTGTAGACCAGCTGACTTTTCTCATTGTATTTGGTAAATGTACTAAAAATGTTAGTCAATGTTATCTGGTTTTATTATTTTATCTCTCTCTTGAGTCGTGGTTGGCATGTATGTGTTGGGGGAGTGGGCATAGGAGTTACACATTTAAGAAAGCCCTATCTTTTAGTAGAATAAATTAATGCAGATTGGCCTGTCTTCCTGCCTGCCTGGTCAGTAACAGTGGACTTTGGAGATTGATCTAGTGATGATAAACCTATTGTATGTGGCATAAGCCAGAGAAGTCAACTTTGATCACAGGTTTCTACACTGGCGTGAGAGAGAAGCATTTAGTTAACATTTCAAATTTCAAAGTAACCAAGCCTGTTAGCATCCATGTATTCTACCAGTAGACTTTATTGGGTCCTCTCATTTGTATGGTCTTTTATTGTTTTTTGTTTTCAACAAAGGAAATAGCACACACATACATCTCAAAATGGATTATACCTGTTGTAATCTCAGTATTTTGGGAGATCAAGGTGGGAGGATCACTTGAGGCCAGGAATTTGAAACGAGCCTGGGAAACATACTGAGATCCTATGTCTACAGAATTTTTAAAATTAGCCAGGTACAGTGGTATGCACCTGTAGTCCTAGCTACTCGGGAGGCTGAGGCAGGAGAATCACTTGAGCCCAGGAGTTCAAGGCAGCAGTGAACTGTGATCAAACCACTGCACTCCAGCTTGGGTGACAACATGGGACCCTATCTAAAAAAAATAAAATAAAATAAAGTAAGAATTGTAAAGTCTCTATTATGGTTATATCTATTAAGAAAATCAGTTCTGTTAAGAAAGGAAATAATTTTTGAAAAATGTTTATTGGGGTAGCAAGATAAAAAGTTGTTTACAAGATATTAAATATCAGAATATTTGGAATTAGTGTATTTGCTATTGTATAGAAAAAAAAAGCTTAGGGCCTCATGATTTGAATTTTTCATCTTGAGTTATTTAATACACATTTGAGTTCTTACCACTTTTTGGACCCTATACTCAACATGTGTAAAGGCATAATTATTTTCAAATGTGGGCTTTGTCTATGCAAAAATTTATGAGTGCATTAAGCATCACTAGATGCAGATTAAATTTGAATTCAATGTGCTATATATGTACCTCCACTACCTTCATTTGATCAGTAATTATGTCCCTTCACTAAATTCACACTCAATTTAGAAACTGTGTTCTAGGAAAACTTGTTAAAAGCTATGGAAAATCCTTCTGTAAAGTGAATTAATTTGCCTTTTATAGATCCAGGTTTTCTTATGTGATTTCTTAATGAACAACTTGTGAATATTTTAAATTTATTAAAAGTAACGTATCTGTAATTCACATTAAACCCCCACCCCATCTATCTTTGTGTCTCACTCTCACAGTCATAATTACACAGAGCAGGAGTTTAGTGTTCTTACTGAGTATATAAATGATCCCAATTTTTTATAATCTTAAAAGATTGGCTTAAGATACCATGATTTCTTTAAAATATATATACTATGATAATAAATCAAAAAATGTATCAATTTAAATTTGACCCATGGGTCTTTGCAGTGTAATTTAACATTTGACCTTCCTGCAGTTGAAGTATAAGGGCTATATGTTTCAGTTAAACTGTCCTATAACTGTTTAGATTAATTTAGATTAGATTTTTGTTAACATAGTGGTTGGCAGCTAAAATGATTGTGAAAATAAAGTTGTTTATTATGTATAAATAGGAGTAGCCTTGATTTCTAGCACAGGCATCCAATATCATCACTAATTTAAGCAGACTTATGTTAGCATTTATCAACTCAGAATTAAGTACAAAATAAAATGCATGTGAAAAAAAATGTTAAGTTGGTGGAAGAACCTTGAAATCTGAAAACTAGTAATTAAAAAAAAATTGAATGCCTAAAACATACTGTATAAACATGAAAGTCTTACATAAGAGACTGGTGTTACATGTTTTGTTGCTGTTTTTTAGGTAATCTGTCATATATATCAGAAATACATATGTAGCAATCAGGTTTTAGTTTCTAGTACAGTTGACCATAGAACTATGGAGGTATTATACTATCCAGAGGGGAAAAATAATTGTCTCTTATTTCAACCCTTCTAAACAGGATACCATACTTGCAGAACTCCTTCAGATACATAAGGAACACATTGTAGGATATCATGAACATGATTCTCTTTTGGACCACAAAGAAGAAGAAGAGTTGACTGAAGAAGAAAGAAAAGCAGCTTGGGCTGAGTATGAAGCAGAGAAGAAGGTAGTTGATGCAAAATGCGTTTTCGTTTTTGTTATGTTAGTGATTTGTTATGTTAGTGAAGAAGAAAAGGGTCATATTTGAAACAGGTAGTAATAATATAGTGGGTTTTAGGAACACAGTCCCCAGTTACAAGAATCTCTTTATGGGCTGGTTTCAGCTACCTTTGGTGGTAGAGTAGGAGGAGGAGACAGAAGAAAACAGTTGACACTTAAAGAGTAGTAACCCCATTTGTGGTTAGTATTTGTTGAATTGAGAGATGAGTGGGAATCCATATATTTAGCACCACGAACCTCCCATCAGTACCCTCTCTGTAGTAACAAACATATAGGAGCTTAGTGTTTGGAGGTTGTAGTAAATGTAGCTTTGCATGTATACCATGAAATCTAAATTTTGGCTGAATATCAGAACACAAAAATATTTCATTATTAGAAATTAATGCCGTTTGCTCCAGCAGCAGCTTTATTTAAGATCCTTCTGTGTCTGTTTTAAACATCAACCCACTTAAGCAAAAATGTGCCTGAGCATGAGAAACCTTATCCTAATACCTGAATCCTTTTCAAACTCCTAACTTATTGTACCAAACCTCTTTAACATTAATGTGATGTTCAGAGTCTCATCAGAATTCTTTTGAGTTGCCCCCATTCTGTGGGAGTTATCATAAAAAAAGTACACCTTTAGGGGTTAAAACTTTCCATGTAATAAGATCTTGGTTTCGGGTGAAAAGGGTGTTTTGTTTGTGTGTGGAAGAGTGTTAATAATTTCCTGGATCTGAGAATGTGGATTCTTTTCTAAACCAGTAGGTGATGTAGAATTTCAAGTTTTAAATCACAATGTGAAAAGTGCGTAATTTTTTTGTTTTTAGGGACTGACCATGCGTTTCAACATACCAACTGGGACCAATTTACCCCCTGTCAGTTTCAACTCTCAAACTCCTTATATTCCTTTCAATTTGGGAGCCCTGTCAGCAATGAGTAATCAACAGCTGGAGGTGAGTTGTGAAGTACAAAAGTAGTTTAACATGAATTAAAGGCAATTTCAAGTGCCTTGTTGTTGAGAGTTCATTCTCCAAAAGATTACCCCTGAATAGACCAATAAATTTTTATTTTATTTGTTGACTGTTTTGAACCAACATAATGTTGTAAAATGTGGTTTGTTCAGAGCACAAAGGAATCAGTCGGTGAATTAATGTAGTTTGAATTATTTTAATTAAGAAACAATAGGGCTGCTGACTGGCTTGGGAAGTAGCACCTTCTTCAGTTATAAAATATTTATAATAAATTGCTATCTTACTGTTTGAAAGTAAGATAAATATACTCATTAATTTCTATTCAAGTGCATTATAGATGTACAATTAAATATATAATGCCCAATATTATGAAATAAATGATTTAAAGCTAGAATCAATTGTAAATTAAATAGGAAAGATTGGATTTTTATTATACCAATAATGACTTAATTGAATCTGAAATGCATTATAAAATGTGCTTATGGATTCATCTAAATTATTAAATTATTGGTGTGATAAAACTCAAACTTTTAATCTTCCTAACAAGACTCTTTGAGCATTGGTATGTTTTATTCCACTTTATTGATACTGAATTTTTCTGTTCTCTTCAATTATTTAAAGAGTTTTAAAACCAACTGCTATAAATTGGCAAATGGAAGGATTCCTATACTTTAACACTATGCTGTCTTTCTGCCTTATATAACTTATTTCTCGCATTCTTCTAGGACCTCATTAATCAAGGAAGAGAAAAAGTTGTAGAAGCAACAAACAGTGTGACAGCAGTGAGGATTCAACCTCTTGAAGATATAATTTCAGCTGTAGTAAGCTAATTGGCAATTGTCTTATTCCAACCTCAAATTTGTGCCCTCTACCCCCTACTGCCATTTTTAAAAATTTTTAATTGTTTCCATCTTATAAATTGATTTGCAATAGTAAAATACTGGTAAAATGGATGGATAATAGTGCCAAACGGTAACCCAGCAATTTTACATAGATGTTGGCACAAAAGAGAGATGGATAAAATGTAAGAATTGAGAAATCAAACATGGAAATGTATGCATTGTTTACATAAACATTTTAATTACCAGTTGCACAAATTAAATCTAAATTATTGTTTCATTCCAGAGATAGCCAGCCCAGGTATAGCAGTGAACAACTTAGTACCCTGTTTTGCATCATGCTTTTCTTTAGAAAAGAATAAAGGAAAGCGGGGCGGGGGGTGGGGGGGGACCTTGGAAAATCCCAAATATCTTAAAATACTTTAATTATTTTTTCTTCAATTGTACAGTAATAAGGAGTAAATAGAAAATTTTTCTTTTAGTGGAAGGAGAACATGAATCTCTCAGAGGCCCAAGTACAGGCGTTAGCATTAAGTAGACAAGCCAGCCAGGAGCTTGATGTTAAACGAAGAGAAGCAATCTACAATGATGTATTGACAAAACAACAGATGGTAAGAATTCTGACTTCTGACTATTTCTAGGTTATGTTTAATTTTCTTGAATTTATAATAATAAGTTTGTATGACATCTACATCAGTAATTATTCCTACTATGGAGGGATGGATAGTCATTGATAATTCTGGAAGAAATGTAAAAAACCCAAGAATGTCAAGTAAAAGTAATATATTTTGTTACAAAAATGCAACAGCTACCTAAATGGGAATCCTTGAAGTTTACATAGGATCTAGTCCATATAATTTTATTTCTCATATATTCTGAACATCTACATAGGAATTTTTGCCAGAGTTTTACCACATTTGCCATTTGTATTTTATTTAACTTTTAATTTTTGTGAGTATATAATAGGTATATATATTTTTGGGGTACATAAGGTATATTGATACAGGTATACAGTGCATAATAATCACATCAGGGTAAAGGATATCTATCACCTCAAGCATTTATCCTTTCTTTGTCTTATAAACAATCCAGTTATACTCTTCTAGTTATTTTTAAATGTGCAATAAATTATTTTTGACTGTAATCACCCTGTTGTGGTATCAAATACTAGATCTTATTCATTCTAACTCTACTTTTGTACCTATTAACTAACCATCCCCCATTACCCCAGTCCCTGCTACCCTTCGCAGCCATTCTATTTTCTATCCCCATTCAATTGTTTTAGTTTTTAGCTTCCAGAAATAAGTGAGAACATGTGAACTTTGTCTTTCTATGCCTGGCTTATTTCACTTAACATAATGATCTCCAGTTCCATGCATGTTATTGCAAATGGCAGTATCTCGTTCTTTTTTATGGCTGAATAGTACTCCATTGTGTATATGTACCATATATTCTTTGTTCATTCATCTGTTGGTTGATACTTAGGTTGCTTCCAAGTCTTAATATTGTAAACAGTGCTACAGTAAACATGAGAGTGCAGATACCTCTTCAATATACTGATTTCCTTTCTTTTGGGTATAGACCTAGCAGTGGGATTGGTGAGTCATATAGTACCTCTATTTTAGGTTTCTGAGGAACCTCCAAACTGTTCTCCATAGTGCTTGTATTAATATACGTTGCTAACAACAGTGTACGCAAATTCCCTTTTCTCCACATCCTCACCAATATTAATTATTGCCTGTCTTTTGGATAAAGGACATTTTAACTGGGGTAAGATGATATTTCATTGTCTTTTTTGTTTGTTTGGTTGGTTGGTTTTCCAGAGACAGGGTCTCACTATATTTCCCAGGCTGGTCTCAAACTCTTGGTCTTAAGCAATCCTCCGACCTCAGCCTCCCAAAGTGTTTGGATTACAGGTGTGAGTGACCATGCCCAGCCTCTCATTGTAGTGTTGATTTGCATTATCTAATGATTGATGATGTTGAGTACCTTTTCTTGTGCCTGTTTGCCATTCATATGTCTTCTTTTGAGAAATGTTTGCCCATTTTTAAATCTGATTATTAGATTTCTTTTTCTATGCAGTTGTTTGAGCTCCTTATATATTCTGGTTATTAATCCCTTGTCAATTGGAAGGCTTGCAAATATTTTCTCGCATTCTGTGGGTTGTCTCTTCACATTGTTGATTGTTTCCTTTGCTATGCAGAAGCTTTTTAACTTAATGGTATCCTGTTTGTCCATTTTTTCTTTGGTTGCCTGTACTTGTGAGATATTACTCAAGAAATCCTTGCCAGTTCAATGTCCTGGACAGTTTGCCCAATGTTTTTCTGTAGTGGATTCATAGTTTGAGGTCTCAGATTTAAGTCTTTAATTCATTTTGATTTGAATGTTGTATATGGCAAGAGATAGGGGTCTTCTTTCATTGTTCTGTGTATGGATATCCAGCTTCCACAGCACCATTTATGAATGAGACTGTCCTATCTCCAGTGCATGTTCATGGCACCTGTGCCACAAATGAGTTCACTGGTGTGTGGATTTGTTTCTGGGTTCTGTCTTCTGTTCTCTTGGTCTGTGTGTCTGTTTGTATGCCAGTACCATGCTGTTTTGGTTACTGTAGCTCTATAGTATAATTTGAAGTCAGGTAATGTGATTCCCCCAGTTTTATTCTTTTTGCTCACTACAGCTTTGCCTATTCTGGGTCTTTTGTGGTTCCATGAAGATTTCAGGAATTTTTTTTTTTTTATTTCTGTGAAGAATGTCATTGGTATATTGAGAGGGATTGCATTGTATCTATAGATTGCTTTGGGTATATGGACATTTTAACAATGTTAATTTATCCAATTCATGAACATGGAATATCTTCTCATTTTTTTGTACCCTCTTCCATTTCTTTCATCAGCATTGTGTAGTTTTCGTTGTAGACATCTTTCACTTTCGTTAAGTTTATTCCTAGATATTTAATTTTGACTGTGGCTACTGTAAATGGGATTATTTTCTCAATTTCTTTTTCAGATTATTCACTGCTGGCATTTAGAAATGCTGCTGATTTTGTATGCTACCACTTTACTAAGTTTGTTTATCAGTTCTAAAATATTTTTGGTGTAGTCTTTAGGTTTTTCCAAATACCAGATCATATCATTTGCAAACAGGATAATTTGACTTCTTCTTTTCCAACTGGGATGCCCTTTATTTCTTTCTCTTGTCTGATTGCTCTAGCTATGACTTCCAGAACTATGTTGAATAACAGTGGTAAAAGCTGGCGTCCTTGTTGTGTTCCAATTTTTAGAGGAAACTCTTTCACTTTTTTCCCCATTGAGTATGATACTGGCTGTGAGTCTGTCAATATATGGGTTTTATTGTGTTGAGGTATGTTCCTTCTATAACCGGTCTTTTGAGGATTTATATCATGAAGGGATGTTGAATATTATCAAATGTTTTTTCAGCATCAGTTGAAATTATCATATGGTTTTTGTCCTTCATTCTGTTATTTGATGTATCCCGTTGATTGATTTGCATATGTTAAGTCATCCTTGAAGCCCTTGGATAAATCCCACTTGGTCATGTTCAACAACACCTTTTTAATGTGTTATTGAATTGTGTTTACTAGTATTTTGTTGCGGATTTTTGCATGAATGTTTATCTCAGATATTGCCCTGTAGTTTTCTTTTTTTGATGTGTCTGTCTGATTTTGGTATCAGGGTGTTACTGGCCTTATAGAATGTGTTTGAAGTATTCCCTCCTCCTCTCCTTGTCACAGTAGTTTGAGGAAGATTGGTATTAGTTCTTCTTTAAACGTTTGGTAAAATTCAGCAGTGAAGATATTGGTTTCCAGGCTTTTCTTTGCTGCAAGACTTTTTATTACAGCTCTAATCTCGCTACTTGTTACTGGTCTGTTTCAGATTTTGGATTTCTTAGTGTTTCAATCTTGGTAGATTGTATGTGTCTTCGAATTTATCCATTTCTTCTAGGTTTTCCAATTGTTTGCATGTAGTTTGTCATAGGACCCTCTAATGTTCCTTTGAATTTCTTTGGTATCAGTTTTAATATCTACTTTTTGATCTCTGATTTTATTTATTTGAATCTTCTTCTTTTTTTTTGAGACGGAGTCTCGCTCTGTCGTCCAAGCTGGGGTGCAGTGGTGCGATCTCGGCTCACGGCAAGCTCCACCTCCTGGGTTCACACCATTCTCCTGCCTCGGCCTCCCGAGAGCTGGGACTACAGGCACCCGCCACCACGCCCAGCTAATTTTTTTGTATTTTTAGTAGAGACGGAGTTTCACCATGTTAGCCAGGATGGTCTCGATCTCCTGACCTCGTGATCCGCCCGCCTCAGCCTCCCAAAGTGCTGGCATTACAGGCATGAGCCACTGCGCCCAGCCCCTTCTTTTTCTTAGTCTGGCTAATGGTTTGTCCATTTTGTTTATCTTCTCGAAAAAACCAACTTTGTATTTATTTCTGCACTGATCTTTATTATTTATTTTACTAATCTGGGGTTTTGTTTTCTTTGGTTTTTCTAGTTCTTTTTAAGATGCGTTGGTAGGTGTTTAATTGAAGTTTTTTTTTCTTTTCTGATGTACCCACTTAGAGCTGTAAACTTTTCTCTTAGTAATGCCTTTGCTGTATCCCATAGGTTTTTGTATGTTGTGTTTCCTTTATCATTTGTTTTAAGAAAATTTTCAATTTACCTCTTAATGTCTTATTTGACCCACTGGTCATTCAGGAGCATATTGTTCAATTTTCATGTGTTTATATAGTTTCAAAAATTCCTCTTGTTGTTGTTTTCTAGTTTTATTCCATGTGGTCAGAGAAGAAACTTGATATGATTTCATTTGTTTGAATGTTTTAAGACTTGTTTTGTGGCCTCATATATGGTCTTTCCTTGAGAATGATTTATGTGCCAAGGAAAAGAATGTATATTCTGTGACCATTGAATGAAAAATCCTGTAAATATCTATTTGGTCTATAGTGCAGAATAAGTCCATTGGTTTTTTTGTTGATTTTCTGTCTGGATGATCTGTCCAATGTGTAAAGTTGAGGTGTTGACGTCTTCAGCTATTATTATTTTGGGGTCTATCTCTCTATTCAGCTCTAATAATATTTGCTTTTTTATATCTGGTGCTCCAGTGTTGGGTGCACATATATTTACAAATGACCATCTTTGTCTCTGTTTATATTTTTTGTCTTGAAATCTATTTTGTCTAAGTATAGCTAGTCCTGCTCTTTTTTGGTTTCCATTTTCATGAAATATCTTTTTTCATCCCTTTATTTTCACTTTATATGTGTCTTTATAGGTACAATGTATTTCTTATAGGAAACAGATGGTTGGGTCTTTTTTTAAAATCCATTCAGGTACTATATGTCTTTTGATTGGAGAGTTTAGTCCATTTATATTCACTGTTATTCTTTTTTTAAACTCTCATTTTAAGTTCATGGATACATGTACAGGTTTGTTATATAGGTAAATCTGTGTCATGGGTTTATTGTACAGATTATTTTGTCACCCAGGTATTAATCCTAGCACCCATAAGTTACTTTCCTGATCATCTCCCTCCTCTCAGCCTCCAACCTCTGGTCAGCACCAGTGTCTGTTATTGCCCTCTATGTGTTCATGTGTT